CTCGACTAGAGCGTAGTGCTGCTGCCGCCCCCGGGGCAGTAGTAGAGGCCCACAGCCATACTGCTAGGCTGCAAAGTACATTGTGTAAACGGCCCACTTGCTTGCGCGGGAGTCCCCGCTGCCGCCGCCGGGGTTTGAACCCTCTCCCTCCGTCGTGTTTACAAAACGCTCCCCACTGCGGGAGGGGCTGGCTGATGAGGCTCATGGACGTGGGCGCCTTTGGGGCCGGAGCGTGGACCCGAGGAGGGCTGCTCTGGCTGAAAAAGAAGAGGAGCGGCTCCGAGGGACCCTCAGCTGCCCAGCGTCCTCGAGCCCCCTCTTTCCTCCCCTCCTCTGGCTCAGCTGCCCTTTGTGCGGACAACCTATACCAATTGCAATCGCAATTACGAGTCTTTCCCTCCGGCGCGCGGCCCCGCCTGCAGCGGAGGCCCGCAGCGCAGCTCGGGTTTGCCACTTGCCACCCCCTTACCCGCCTCCCCTCCCGCCCCGTCTTCAACCCCCCTCCACTTCCCCCCACGCCCCTGTTAGAAACTCCAACGAGGCGGATAATGCCCTGCCCGGCCCGGCCGAGGTGTACTCCCAAACGAAGAGAGGAAATGGGCGCAAACTAGCCGGCCGCTCCGAGTGGTGTGGGCTTGGGGAGAGGTGAGGAGAGGAGGTGCCTCAATCTCGCCATCGCTCTGCACCCTGTCGCTCTCCGCGCCTCGCGCCGCTTTCTTCGCCCTTGTCTTGTTATCCCACACCTTTTATCGCTGCCTCTTTTCGTTCGCGTGCTCTCTCTTGCTCGCTCCCTCCCTCTCTCTCATCTCTCTCCACCCCCGCCTCTATCTCTTTTTCCCTGCTGCTTTTTCCCCACCCCAGAGGAACGTTGCCTGCTGGGCCGGGCCGCGCGTCCCTCTAACTTATTGCGAGATTTAAAATCAAGAGCTTGTTTATTGGCTGAGCGATTAGCGAGGCCTATTATATACCCCCCTCAACGCTCGTTCGAGTTTTTCGTGATTTCTCGCTGCAGCGGGGTCCCCAACTGGCTCCACACAGCCTTAACCTAACCTAATTAAACCTAAGTTCTCATAACCTGTCATAACCTGACCTTCTCTCCGCCTGTCTCGCAGGAGCGCCGCAGGTGCTGCGCAGCTCGGCCGCCCGGGAAGTGAGCGTGCTCCGCGGCCAGGACGCGCACCTCAAGATGGTCGTGTGCGCCGACCCCAAGCCCACCAAGGTGCAGTGGCACTGGGGCTCGCTCGCCGTCGACTCTGGCGCCAACAGCGGCCGCTTCCAGGCCGAGGAGCTGCTGCAGGTGAGTTCAAACTCCACATCGTCGCTTTATATGTTTTGTTTCTTTTACGTGATGGTACCCATCGAGGTGTGAGGTTGTTCACGGAACGTTACAAGGGCTCAATGTTTCGTTGCGGTCAACGGAGTGAAAATATCGGGAAATACTCATCCTTGCGTTTTCGAATCCCATGTTATTTTGTTTGCCATGCGGGACAAAAGAAAATCGTAAACACACACTCGCTCAGCTCGCATCCGCGTGGGGCGGGGATGTGTATGTGTCTGTCTGTAGGCTACTCTGGCGGCACAGAATATGGGTTTAATAATGTGGAGCCCCTCATTGCGAATCAATGACGCTGCGCTGTGCGTGCAGAAACGGCTTGGTGCGATGGGGGAAGGGGGGGGGGGGACCTGTCAGTCGACGGCGTGGCACAGCGGGGGCCGGGGCCGCGCCTTTATTGCTTGGGGTGACGGTTTTCACAAACGCGGCGCGTCGCCATGTTCGCGCGCGGCCCGCCGCCACGGCCGCTGAAAACGCGCGGAAAAACAATTATTTGCATTCGCTTTGCTGGCGGTGGGACCAGTGTGCAAAGGCACTGCACCAAACGGCGAATTATTGCAAACTGCACAATTGCGGGCTCGCAGACGAATGCGAATGAAAGGGGGAGTGAATGGAAAAGTGGAGTGGGAGGGGGGGTCACAGCACAGCACGTCGTGGACAGTATCGAGCATTAGTGGTAATTGGTTTAACCAATCATTACTCAAGTAAAAGCAGCAGAACCTAATACGTTTATGAAGCACCTTCGAAAAATTAAAATGGATTTTTTACTGTGTTGTCATCCGCGCCTTTTTATTTTAGTTAGAATATGAAACACTTAGAATCGTAGAAAAAATTATTTGCTTATTTATTCAT